GTCGCTGCGCGGGGACGCCAGGAGCACTTCAGGACCGCAGCGCATGAAGCAGGAGCACTTCAGGGCCGCAGTGCACGTGACAGGACCGCAACAGGACTGCAGTACATATGACAGGAGCGCTTCAGGGCCGCAGTACACGTGACAGAAGTGCTTCAGGACCACAGCACACGCGACAGGAGCGCTTCACGACCGTTTCAGGACCGCAGTACGCATGAGCAGCCCGCAGTCCGATCAGCCGTATGGGGTCCTCAAGTTCATGACGTACAGAAAATAGAGCGTTCCGGAATCCCAGATCTTTTAGCTCGGGAGTTGTAAAATAATTCTGCCGACGGGTTGCAGTTTTCAGAGCCACCTGGATTTTCCACATATCACCCAGTGTCTGCAAATGCGGGCTGTGTAAAACACGGGATACACTCGTCGGGTGCGTGACAGCCACACACGTGTTAAGGTAGGCAGACATTGATTCTGTGATCAGTTCAAACTCTTGGCCAATCTCGTCAGTTCGCGCTATATGTTTCATTAATGATATAAGCACATAACAATACAAAGATGTAAGTAAATAGCTATCATGCGAATAAAAATGCACATGCACTCAGCTTTTCTCTCTCATGGAAAATAAGTTGCCTTTACGATAGGAAGACCACTCTTCCGGCCCTTCCCTTTTTGTTTCACGGTGGTAAAGAAAAAATGTAACAACGAGGTGCGCGAGCACTGGCCTAGCAAGCGGAGCCTACTTCAGGGGATTGCTTAGTCCTAAATCGCAGACTCGGATACGCCAGAATAGGCATTAGTATTGAGCACGTTAAGCTCTCAACACAAATGTTGTGGCCCCCATGACTAAGCGATGCTCGTCCAAATATCAGGCGATCGCGACGGAGAAGGCCGCACGTGGTCGGCACGATCAACAGGACCACATAATCGTTATCGTCGCTAGTGACATGGAATCGTAGTACCAGAAGCAGTGGCATCAATTCAACATTCCTTCTCCAGGGTCACAAGGTACGGCCGCCTCCCCTGCCTTGAAAAATTCCATCGAAACCTGTATGAACTGCGTCAACATGCGGTGTGTGCACGCGGAATGCAACCGCCGGACTGTACATAAGCGTAGGTTTGGAATGGCGTCTTAGAACTACGTGGTTGTTACCTACGTAAGGTCCGATCGTCAAGGTTTAGGAACACACAAAATCGCGACGAATCCCTATAAAGCAAGCAAGAAAAATGCAAATGAACTAATGCAATACGACCTCCGACTTCTCCAACCTCTCCAGCGGCCTTTTCTCTCCGGATGGAGAATGGATATTGACATTCTTGAACATATCATGCTAAAACCAATATTGCTGAAAAAGACGGCATGATCGGATCAAAGTCCGCCTACTTCACGGTGCGTCCAGGCTCTCAAAGTAAAAAAAAAACGAATCAAAGCTCCAAAGCCGTTCGTACGTTTTGGAACAATCGCTGGGTAATACCATCCCAGCAAGCCAACGATTTCCCAAAAACCACTATTTTTAAAACGGTAAAAACATTTCAGGCGATTATTTTACCAACATCACATGATCAAATGCATGTAATTTTTCATTACCGTATCTATGTTCTTTGTCGGAACTTCCTGCACTGATGAATGCATACCATGTGCGCTGCCAGCGTGCAATGTGTAGCGCAATTTAGTAACTTAAGCAATTTTAATTGTCATTGAACGCGTTGTGTTCTTTACGTTTCAAATCATTAACGGAAATCTGTAAGAATAAAACAGCTCCCAGAGATATCTGGATGATGATGTGGTATCTCAAAAGCTTTCTTGGTCGAGTGGTTGTTAGCTCTAGTGAGGGCTGCATACTACTCAATATAGCATAAAAGCTTGCAACCTAATCACCTAAGAACTAATGGCTTCGGGGCAAATTTGAGAACACCGGCTTTGCAATGTAAATCGAGCACACGTTATCTAAGTATACAAGTGTGCAAATTTGTGTACGTATGTGTGCACTTATGCATAGAAGTGTGCACAGATATCCTTGAGCAAAAAGGTCAATCGTCCTTCGAATCATGTCAAGCTACTTTAACCTTCGATATAAAAGACCCCGCCAAACTGAGGCCGAAGCCTACAATCTAGCAGCAGGCGAAGAACACACCGTCCCAGTCTTCACCTATCCCCACTCCAGCTCCATCAGTCCACAACACAGCACGCCGACGGCCGTGAAGTCGCCGTCCTGACTCACCTTCCCCTCGTAGACGAAGTACACCCCGTTGAAGAGCCTGCCGTTCTGCTCGGGTCGTAACCGGCCGTAGCCCGCGGCGGCCACGACCGCGGCCAGCAGGAGCGCGAGCTCGAGCGGAAGGGGCGCCATGGGGGCTGCGGCGGTCGCCGCCAGTCTGCCGCCCGCTCCGGCGGCCCGCCGCCACACTAGCGCCGCCGGCGGCCGGTAGCGGCACTAGCAGACGTAGCCGGACGACGGTCGGCCGCAGAGCAAGCGATTCCATGCGGAGGGGGGGGGGGGGGGGGCGGTTTGGCGCGACTGAATACTGTGGCCGGTGTGGCACGACTGAATACTGTCGTCGGTGGGGCGCGATTAAGTACTGTGGCCGGTTTGGCACGCCTGAATACTGTGGCCAGTGTGGCACGACTGAGTACTGTGGCCGGTGTGGCACGACTGAATGCTGTGGCCGGTGTGGCACGACTGAATGCTGCGACCGGTGCGGCGCGACTGAATACTGTGGCCGGTGGGGCGCGACTAAATACTGTGGCCGGTTTGGCACGACTGAATACTGTGGCCGGTGTGGCACGACTGAATACTGTGGCCGGTGTGGCACGACTAAATACTGCGGCCGGTGTGGCGCGACTGAATACTGTGGCCGGTGTGGCACGACTGAATACTGTGGCCCGTGTGACACGACTGAATACTGTGGCCCGTGGGGCACGACTGAATACTGTGGCCGGTGTGGCACGACGCCGTGACGTGGCGCCGCCTTCGCTTCCGGGGGAGGAGTTCCCCAAAACGACGGGACGATTCTCACGGCCAAGAGTGGCCACCCGATAATGGTAGTGTTGGGAATCGAGGCTAGTTGGTTCGCTGCTTTTTGGAGAGCTGTGAGGTCACTAGACTGCGAGCCGACGTTATGCCGAAGATGTTGTTTAGGGAGTGATCACATCATGAGCATGATCGGCTGATATTAAAGGTGTGCTGTGTAGGGAGCTGAGCATGATCGGACTTTGATGGAACGGTAATCAGTAAGTGAAAAGATCATCAGACGGCAGTGAGACCAACTTAAGTCACCGGGTGCCCCATCACCCCATTATTCCACGACCGGGTAGTGGTAGGGCGTTGTTTAGTGCATGGCCCCACCACTAGCCAGTGGTGGGGCGCTACGAACCAGAGGTCACCAGGCAGCGGCGCGATTGGGCTATGTCGGTGGTCAGTGGCCGACAGAGCCCGTGAATCAGTTTTATGTCTGATGCTGATCGATAGAGTCCCTGACTGCTACTGATACCGCACGACATTGATGGAGTCAGCGTCTGGCAGCCAGACCCACATCATCAACCGTTGGACGTGATATACGGACGGGCGATTAGCTGGTGGCAGCCGCCAAAATACCCCATGTGAACGGCAGTCAGGCATTCTGTAAACAAGTCTACTACCTTGAGAAAGAATGGAACGTGTTGCTGGTCGTTCTCATCATGGCACAAGGGCACCTTGCGTCAGATATGAGGCTAAAGGCCGTTGTGCCGGCGCAGAGCACCACGCGCCAGCGGAACACCACGAGCCAGCGGAGCACCACACGCCAGCGGAGCACCACGTGTCGGGGTTACCTGCAGATAAATGGCGGATGCCGCAAGCAGGGACTGATTGCGGTGAAAAAGTAGAGGCTGGTGCAAGCTAAACGGCGCGCTTCTGTTCGCCAAGCCGGACTAGGACGTTCTCCGTCGCATGCTGAACATTACTAAGACTTAGCCTTTTGTTTCAGTGACCACACGCTTTTAAGCGTGCAGTCTAAGGCGGATACAGCCGGCGCACATAGCTTCTAGACGCCGCGATCCTACGAAGCCCGCGCCTCCCGCGTCGGCGCAACTCGCCCGATGGCCGGACAGCAGTGGCTCGGGACGGGATGCGACGGCGGGGGCGGCGACGGCGGCAGGGATGTCGGCCCGACGGGCACGTGTCGCCCCTGCCCCCCCCCCCCCTGCCTCCCCATCCCCCGCCGGCCACATACCCTCGAGCTATTAGCGACCGCCAGCGGCGTCCCGAGCACGCCGCGCGGAATGTCGGCTCGGAATGTCGCGCCGTCTGCCGGGCGTCACGCGCGTCACGGCGTCACGCAGCGGCCGGCGCGTCAGGCCGTGACCGCCGCTGTCGGGCCGTGACCGATGAGCTGCGCGTGCTGGCCGACCGCCGGAGACGACTATCTCAAACGCGCTGGCGGGCCGCCCGAAAGACCACTATGCTCTGAGTGGGCCGGTGGACCGCTCGGGGGGCGACTGGGCCCTGAGTGGGCAGGTGGGCCGCTCGGAGGACGACTGAGCTCTGAGTGGGCAGGTGGGCTGCTCGGAGGACGACTGAGCTCTGAGTGGGCAGGTGGGCCGCTCGGAGGGCGACTGGGCTCTGAGTGGGCAGGTGGGCCGCTCGGAGGACGACTGAGCTCTGAGTGGGCAGGTGGGCCGCTCGGAGGGCGACTGGGCTCTGAGCGGGCAGGTGGGCCGCTCGGAGGGCGACTGGGCTCTGAGCGGGCAGGTGGGCCGCTCGGAGGGCGACTGGGCTCTGAGTGGGCAGGCGGGCCGCTCGGAGGGCGACTGGGCTCTGAGTGGGCAGGTGGGCCGCTCGGAGGACGACTGAGCTCTGAGTAGGCAGGTGGGCCGTTACGCTGGGGTGTCGACACTCCAAGGTCGTCTTTGTAACCGCGTTGGCGGTCTGAACGTTGGCGGTCTGATATTCCTGTGTAAAAATGACTTCGGAAGCGTGTGGGTACGCATGAAGCACGACCGGAATATGATTTCGCCGAGCCACCCCGCTTGGAACCGACCTGGCCGGTTGATATACATTGCTGATAAAAATAGATCGGTTAAAGGTGAGCGTTTCAGCTCAGATCGCTGCATACCATGTGAATGTGAGGAAGACTGCAGACTACGCTTGTCCGGAACTACTCAGAAAGCTGGAGCTTCAGTGCCCTGCCAAGCCAATGACGCTCGTGGGAATATTCGTAGCAGTGTGCGATAGCTCCATGCAATTTGTAGCAAAAACAGATTTGTAATGCGCAGCAGTACTCAGAAGGTATTCGCATGCATCATCATCTTCTTCACGCCTATTCAACAAGACTTGCAACAAATTACGAACGTAAATCAGAAAGGCGCAAACGCAACAGCCTAAATCGAAACACATAGCGTGAAACAGACAAAAAGAAATGCCGAATTTTCACTGCCGCCACGGCACATTTTGCTCAGCTTCTGAACTCAACACGATGGTCTCTGCCACACGCCTCACCGCCGATGCCACGTCCATTTGATATGGTTAGGGAATAGCTAACGGCGATGGAGTTCGGTGAAACGTCTAAAATTGAGCAGACAATTTTGCGAATGGTGTGCCACCGCCAAACCGTCACTGCCGCTGAGATCGTCACCGCGTTAAAGAAGCTGTAGCTGATAAAAAGATAACTTGTCTCTAAAGCCGTTGGCGCTGTATGTTAATTATTGTCTTAAGCGCAAGCAAAACACAGTGACAGCAGCCCCAGCGGTATCTAACTACTGATCGTGGTCAATGGATTCGAGCGGAAAGACCTGTGACATTTCCGTGTGCTCCAAGAGCAACCACACCCAACATCGCAGCATGCTAGCATCCACAGATATCGACTAGTTAAGCATCGCTCACAAATCCCTTGCGGCCTCTTTGGACGCTTTGCCATACGCCACGGTGCAGGCTTCTGACTTTCGCTTCCTTGAACGAGTCGACCATCTCAGCCAGTGCGCAAATTGCGCTTGGCCGCCACAGGCAATCCCAAAGCATGTAGTCACAGCATCGGACATCCATTTTCGCTGCGCTCTCCCGTCCCCCGTGACACCAGCGACAGGGGCGCCCGGTCTGCGCTCTCCCGACCTCCGTGACACCAGCGACAGGGGCGCCCGGTCTGCGCTCTCCCGTCCTCCGTGACACCAGCGACAGACGCGCCCGGTCTGCGCTCTCCCGTCCTCCGTGACACCAGCGAAAGACGCGCCCGGTCTGCGCTCTCCCGTTCTCCGTGACACCAGCGACAGGGGCGCCCGGTCTGCACTCTCCCGTCCTCCGTGACACCAGCGGCAGGGGCGCCCGGTCTGCGCTCTCCCGTCCTCCGTGACACCAGCGGCAGACGCGCCCGGTCTGCGCTCTCCCGTCCTCCGTGATACCAGCGACAGGCGCGCCCGGGCCGCAGCCATGTACGGGTGATCAGTTCTACCGGACTGGGGGGAGGGGGAGGAGGGCAGCGGTCTGCCGTCCGCCGGGCCGCCGGACCTCGTCGGTCACTAGGCCAGCCAGGCGCGCGCCGCACGACGCCGCACAATGAATCGGAGCCGGCGGTCGTCCGGCGGTTAAAAATACGGCCGCACGGGCACCAGCGCTCACGCGGCTGACGGCACCACATGTGGTGACGTTCTCTGCGGGGCGGCACAGCAGGTGGTGACAGGCACTGCGGGGAGCGGCTTCGCATGTGGTGACAGTTACTGCAGGGAGCGGCTCAAATGTGGTGACAGTCACTGCAGGGAGCGGCTCACAGGTGGTGACTATCACTGCAGGGAGCGGCTTCGCAGGTGGTGACAGTCACTGCAGGGAGCAGCTCACGGGTGGTGACGGTCACTGCAGGGAGTGGTTCGCAGGTGGTGACGATCACTGCAGGCTACATAACATTTATTGACCGCATAGCGTTATATATATATATATATATATATATATATATATATTGATATAGGCCGTATAGCATAAATAACAATGCATTTAACTTCTTGGATCATGTGTTGAGATCGGCACGGAAATGACAAATTCAACAGTCTCACTTCACAGCAAAAACGCAAGGCGTGCACCTGGAAGGCTGATAGGTGCTCGTATAAGAGAACGCATATTTGTGCAGAGATTTTAGGGAAACTTACTTGTTTTTGGGTCACGATGCCAGCCAAGGAGTCCGTTATGGAAGCGCACAAGCACAAGCCTCATGCACCCGTTCGACGCGTGCATGAGGATAAAAGACGACGAGGAAGCGACAGCCAACAGGTTCGGGTAACAAGCGACCCTACGTAGCACAAGAACGACACGGTATACACATCCCAGAACACGGTAAATGAATTGCCGAGATGCTAGAAGAACTCACTCCGGCAAATTAGTTCCCTTTTTTGTTTACTTTA